AATGTGTTTTGGGGTTTGAAAGCCACTGGGACATTATGTTTAGAAAATAAACGTCTCAGTTATACTGCTTTCATGTTAGAAATAAATTGCTTCATTGATTGGCTGATTTCTATGTTTGTTAAGATTGAATATGTGTGGCGCAGTGACCGTTTTGACTAAAAAAGTTAATTACTTAGATGATTATTTAATGATTACTTGAGCATTTCATTAAAATGATCCAGCGTGTCAGATATTTTGTGCACAGTCAAACTAATCATCACTCACCCTTACACACATTTGTATTTCAATCCTTATTAGTAAATGTTTTTGACTTCATTTGATTTCTGTAGCCTAACTCTACCCAATTTTAATCGCAAGTCAAGTGATACCTTAGCCCCAAACCTAACCCTATGTTCTGTAAGTGATTATACAAGAAAAAGTCTTAACAAAAAATACACACATGGGCATAATTGCACCTTTACTAGGGCTGTGTGGCGAGTGATGACAACAATCGATAAATATATTTACGATTCATACAAAAATAATAAAAAAATAAATAAAATGTGGAGCAACAATATTGTGCCCAAAATGTGCAATTGTATTGGCATTTATTAAATAGATAATTGCACTTCCGACATAATGAAAACACTTCCTGGAATACAGCCAGGATGAACTTGTTCTTCCTGATTTTATTTAAGAAAACTCTATATTTTCTTCAYTGTGTTCTCCGACTGCACATGCCTCCTCTTTGTTTCTTTCTGTCTCCCTTTGCGTAGCAGATACTGTCCATATCAGCTCGAAGAGGAGCTGCTAAAATCCCACCTCTCCCATCACAGTCCTACGTCTCTCTGTGTTTTCACACTAACATATTTCAGCCTGCAGTTACTTGTCACAGGCGAATGAAAACTACAGCACTGCATCCACGTCTTATATCCTGCTATGATTCAGAATTTATTACAGGCGATGGGAATAACACACACAAAAGAGGCTTGGGGGAAATTTGATGCGATTTTGTTGCAAATGATAAATCATGAAAACCTACAATGATATGATTCTGCTAAAATATGGAAGCCAGTAGCAATAAAAAGAGGAGACATCTGTGATTTCATTGACTGTTGGATTGGAAGTTGTGAAATATGTTCAATTTGCAAATATTCTTGCTAAAGCTGTGCAAAAGTTGTGTGTTTTTATCAAGTGTGGAGATTAGTTTGATGATACCTCAAAGCTGAAAAGCAGGACGTGCTTTATGGCTGCAACTCCCCCTGATTGAACAGAGATCTAATTTCACACATGACCGTTTTTTTTTTTTTTTTTTTKTCTCTCTCAGCTATGTGGGCATGCCGGCAGACTATAGTTAGCGCTTTAACATTGCATGTTTGCTCGGGGCTAGGTGAAGGGAGAGAAAGAGGTGGATGGAAGGATAACTAAGGAAGTGGAGAAAGACAAATCGGTGCAGAGAAGCAATGAAACAAAGAGGAGAAAAGCCCTTTATCTGTCAGTTGTTCTTCCTATTTTTTATGACAACACTGGAAAACAACATGCATCATTTTCAACAACTTGTAAATTAGAAAAGTTTGGGAAAACATTTTGGAAAATGGTGGCCATGATTCACAAATAAAAAAAAAKGTGGAAATGCATCTGTTAGCTGAAGAAAAGGAATCCCCATGCATTGATATATGGTGTTGCTTTGCAGCAACACATTTAGATAGAGACAGGCTTAATGCCAGCAGGCCCTCTGGGAGCTCGGGGCTACATTTATCACCACCACCGCCCTCTGATGATGAGGCCGTTTAAGGGGGGGTCCCCATAGTCCTCTGCTGATTAGTGCTAAACATCTTCCCTAATAACCTTAACAAGAGCAACGCCTCAGGAGGACATGCCGGTGCACAGAGGCAACTGTACGCTCCCACTCACCTCCTCGGAGATAAAAAAGTGCTGAAGGCTACGACATCCTCCTCTTTCAAAGTCACCCCATCCCCATGTTCCAACTTGGCATTTTGCATTAAGCTCTGGGAGGAAACCTCACTCAGATGTTCTCTTCTGTTCCTCATACAAGCGCCTCGTTCCAGACAAACACAAAATTGAGATGGTTATGGTTCAAGAGTCCCATCATGTTCCTCTCCAACATCAAGATGAGATAAAAAAAGTGGAATACATGAATTCAAATGTGGATGGGTTTGTTTTCTTTTGGGGATAAAAAGACAAGCAATGAAATTGAGAATGCAATTTGGAAGTGCCACGGGGGGAAAGACAAAGACTTTTTTTTTAAAAGATGTGTAAAAYATCAATGCTTTAACACAAATTCAAAATCCTGTCTGGATCTTCAGCTTGCTCCGTTGTTCTGATGGAAAACTAATGTCCATACTTTTAACCTCTTTTTTGTTTTGTKTTTACTCCTGTTACCAGTCACATTCTTGGCAAATTGTTGACACAAATTCGAAGCATTTTAGATAGGCTCCACCTGAAAATACACAAAACAATAATCAGAATTGATTATTGTCTAAATGGATTTAAAACTGTTAACAAAGCACACTGCATGGTTTTGTGCTTCTTTATCTCTACAACACACAACTAAAACAAATAAACAATATGTTAAAGCCAACTTTATCAAAACAAAAAAAAACATAAAATACACAACGCTGATTAAGAGAATGAATAAGAAATGAAAAAAAGAAAAGAAATGATAGCCACAATTAACAAAGGGAAACACAATCTAAAAAAAGGCATTCATAACTTTATCTTAAAGTTTTGAAATCAATTTTTTTAAATACGTAGCAACTCCTGGTCTCTAAGTTTTATTCAAATGCTACTCTCCGTGATATATTTATTTTTAAGAAGCATGACAAAACCTAAACACAAGACTTACAACGTGAAGGCTTCTTTGTCACCGCAGTTATCATGTTGACACAATTATTTTTTATGGTTTTCACGTGACGCACGGGTCATGACAGTAAAGTTGTTCTCTCACTCAGTTTATTCTCGTATTTCACCTCGTCCGCTTGGTTYAGACTCAATTAAGCACTAATTGATGAGATATTTGCGTTCCAGCCGGGTTTTTCATCAGTCTTGTATTTCTATAACAAAAAATCCCGTGTTTATCCTTTTATTGTGACCACGGCAGTAAATTTTCCCAGCATACTTTGAATGCAGCATGAGAGTCCCGTCGTGACGTCACGTGAAAGCCTTGAGTCAGTCAGCTGAGGGAGGAACTCCCGACAACAGAAAACTCAACCAGGAAGCAGGCAGCWAAAGCTGACCCACCGTCCCGGTTCGACGGCTAAAAGCGACGGTTTTCACGATAGAACCCACACAGTTTATCAAAAACAGGATTTATATTTTCTAACTAGACACACAAGCAGCGACATGGCGTCCCTTTTCAAGAAGAAGACAGTCGACGGTAAGTTTGCTAGTGTTAAAAAAAAAAGCAAGCTAACTTGTTTTTAGCCCAACTGTGTTCCGATTTGAAATGAGCTTTCTCCATTGAACTTGTTCGACCTGTTTTCGGTTTTGTTGAGTCTCCAGTCACATTACTGGCTGAAAGGAACCATTGAAGCGCCGCTGAGCCCAGTAGTTTTGGTTGACACACTCATGTTTTACGCAGTAGCAGGTAACAATTGTGGTTTGTTGCGTTAATAAATCGAATATTTGACTAGAAAGAGGACACATGTGAAGCAACACTAAAGCTAAAAAAATTGAAACGAAACAGCTAAATTAAAACCACACTTTGTCTATTTAATATTAGCCAGATGTTTAATCAACATGATATATAATCACACTGATTATATGACTTTATTTATAGCCACACATTTAAACTGGACAACATATAAACTCAGCTGTCATAAATGACTAATAGTCATAAAATTGTGTAATGTACAAGAAAAGTTAATGACATCATTGACAGGTTCTCATGAGGTAATTTTACTAAAATTCACATTTTAAATATCTGGAAAAGCCTGCCTGAATATTTAAGTATTTCCCCCAGGCAAGGCAATCACTCTGACTGGGTCAAAATGGAAAATCTGACACAGGTTTTTATAAAAGTTAATGTATCAATAATTCTGTTTAAAATGCTGAAACCTAGGTTTGAATGACCATAACAATAAAAAAAAAGTATAATCTCTTCCTATTCTGGATTTTAAACTTATAGGTGTGGGGAAAAATGAATACAAATAATTGCATTGAGTTTAAAAATAGGCTTGGCAGGTGCGAGCAAATGTTTTTATCCTTCCTCCTCCCATCCCTGTCATTCCAGCCTCACCCACGTCGGTCCTCGGCGTACTGTACTCACTGTGCTGCTTCGCTGCATATCACCAGGTCTTCTTCAGACGGGACKTTTTGCAGTTCTCATCTCATTTTCAGAGTGTCGCTTCATCCCCGTCGCTTCAAACTCTAAAAACAGGACTTTTTTATTGATGAGTCGTCGATGAGTGGTTATTTAGCGAATTTTAGTTGGTTTGGTGGCTGGGGGGGTCAGATCTCACATATTTGTAGGACCATATCCCTCCCACTTTAAGACGTTGGCGTCACGTCACCTTATACGTATTTRTGCATCTTTCTTACAAGTGGTCCAMTYCACTGACGTTGCTCTAACTTTAGAGTTACTGGAGCTTTTATAGAAAATGAGCTTTTTCCTGTCAGCTATCCTTCCTTTTGATAAATGGATTTTCTTAATGACAGCTTAAATTAAATGAGTTCAGTCAAACTTGTTTTCAATGTTTTTACTTTTCTAATTTTGTCTTGCRACGTCATACTCATCTACAGTGCATCTATTTACTCACAAGTAAATATTAAACYGGTCACTGTTAGTTTTTCAATTTTTCTACTGTTTTTGGAGTTTTATTAACTTTTTTATTTTTATTCATTTACTTTTTTTGCTCTAAAGGCAGTATAGGATTTATCTCTTATCTATTACATTTTATTATTTTTTAAGTATATTCTCTCTTTCTTTATTCTGATTCTTATAAAGTATTTTAATTTTTTTGTTAATTCTGATATAGAGGATTGTTTCGGTCTTCTTGCAGTTCGAAGCCACAGATGATTGTCCAAAAGATTGGTGACATTTTCTTACATGATGTCACRTTATGTTGATGTGGGCATTAACAGCTGACCGACTCAATTTGGATGTCAGGTGTCCAAACAGCTCTACGGTTGTCCGAGTGTTCAGCGAGCTGCAGATGACTCAGTGGTATCAGGATGATTCTGGACACATGAGATTGCTATAATTTTGCAGGCTGCATGTTTCAGATTTTTTTTCTAAAGCCATGCCCATGCAGTTCATTCATATCTTGTTTTTTTATTGCAATGCTTTTTTATTATTTTTTTAAAAATCCAACTAGATTTGCACATTATTTTTTACAGTTGGAATGACCTGAAGCAATATACTGTATATATATATATGAGCTGATCTTTCCTCCTTGTCGTTTTGCTTCTTCTGAAGACGTCATTAAGGAACAGTCCAAGGAGCTGCGTGGCACTCAAAGACAGATCACCAGGGACCGAGCAGCGCTGGAAAAACAAGAGAAACAAATGGTTGGAATTCACACACACACACACACAGAAATATATAAGAAACGTGTGCGTAAATTTTTTTTTGTTTAAATTTCAAGACATTGCATCAAAGTTTTGTCAAGACCCCCCAGCTTCTTCAACACACAGACACACTTTTAGACAAATCCACCATCTACTCGTAACGACTGAGCCTGATTGGTTAATGGGTGTAAGTGAGTAGATAAAAGTGTTTTGGTGTGATGGATTTGCTCCAGGCAAGTGAGACTACTTGCACACATCCACACACACTCCTGAGGAGTACCACGTTGAGGCTGTATTCACAAATGTTTGTTACATTTCCCTTCCCTGCAAGATGAAAGAAGCTGACTCTTGTCTTCCCCACTCAGTTGTATTAAGTAAATATCATACAGGACATAATTACCTCCCTGGGGAGCCCCATTTTTGTTCTTCATTAATGCTTTCCGCTAATTAGTCTGSTTTTTAAAAGCTTTGTTGCACTTTCAGAGTACAAAGGGACCCTGGCTAAGAAACGAAAATTACCCATAATTGCAAGTTAGCACAATTATGTGCGTCSCTCATTGTGTAGGCTTGTAGTGTGAAAATGTGCATACACTCAGATTTAAATGCACACGCTTTATTAAAAAATAGCTCAGGATGTTTTATTCAATGAAATCTCAAAGGAGAAGGAAACAAGATCAGGGTATATGCATGTCCACTCTAATCATATCTATGTGTAAGGCCTTTAAAAGTGTTATTAAGTGTATTCATATTATTCATTTGTTTATTGAGAGCCGTGTTGCTTTTTAACTCTGCATTACAGGCAGACCTTTATTTGTTATACTTTTTAATTTTTCTTTTTATGGTAACTGATATTAGGTGATTTTTTTTGTGTGCGATGGGAAATAATCTAATTGCAGAATATTCCCAGGATGAACAAAAGTGTTTATTTTTTCAGTATTCTGCTTTACATTAAGATTCCTGCTGCATTCAATCATGTCTTAGAGGAGCGTTATTGTCCATCACACTCCAACTCCTTTTTATTTATTTATTTTATTATAGAGGTAAAGAGGATGTAGGCTTCCAGTCAGCAGCAGTCTTACTGTTCATCTTGCTATATTTTTTTTATTTACACATCCTCATGCTTTTTGTAGGTGCACACTATGATGTTRTTATGTCCAGAGTGTTCCTTTTCTTTTCTCAAAATTTAGCTCCAAATCATTTGAAATGTTTTTTTGGCAAGCTGAGCCTAACGCACCAAGTGTATGACCGGGTGCATATTACTAAATGGATTTGTGTTTAAAAGGCAGCAGYGCAGAGCTCTGTGCTGAAAGCCTATAGCTGCTGCAGCCTCATGTTTTAATAATTGATTGTTAGTTCCTGTAGAAGATTTTGAGYTTGCAGAAGAAATGAACAGCACATGTTGGTGCTGAGAGGCCCCGGCTATCTTACTGTAACCTGCAGATTTGTTCTCGTCTCTTGGGATGCTTTCACACACACATGCCCACACACACACACACACACACACAC